AAAAAAAAAAAAAAAAATAAGATACTTTCCAGGCTTTAGTATATGCAATTAAGGAGAGAGAAGAAACACTATTAAAATATAGGAACCCTTGTTAATATGTTAAAAATTTTAAAAATGGTGAATGTTATACTATGTGAATTATTTAAGTTTTTTTTTAAAAAGAGACCACGTCCCCAAAGAAAATATTTGAACAATAGTGGTGGGAAATCTTTTATTTATTTGAGACAGGGTCTTGCTATGTTACCTGGGCTGATCCTGAACTTGCCTCAGCCTCCCGAGTAGCTGGGACTACAGGTGCATGTCATCACACATACTTTTTTTAAATTTTTAGTAAACAGTTATTTTTATTTAAAAAATTATGGTAAAATATACATGAAATTTACCACTTTAAACATTTTTTTTAATTTTTGCTTTTATTTGTTTATTTGCAATGCTGGGGATCAAACCCAGGGCCTTGTGCACTCCTGACAAGCACTCTCCCAGTTCAGTGGCATTGAATACATTCTCATTGTGCAACCATTACTATTACCCATCTCCAGAAGTGGAAGATCTTTTAATTTGTGCTCTAATTCTTGATTTCTCATTTCTCTATATTATTAACCTGCTCTACTTTTTTATTCATATAACAATGTTTTGCTGTATAACAGGAATAAGACAATCATGTTTTTAAGTGGAAAAAATATATAAGACAGGTAGGGAAAAAAAGATAAAGATCTACTAACATATCCGATTTATTTTCAAATCTGTCTATATGAACTTATCTGTTACCCATCATTATAATAATTCAGCCTTGCTGAATTGATTTTTATTTAATAGTTTTTCAGCATTTATGTTTTTGAGGGTTTTTCTTCAGTGTTGGGAATTGAACTCAGGGCCTGTTATATAAGTTTTTAGCTATATTACTGAATTACATCCCTAGCCCCACTTGTTTCAAAGGATACAATTGTTGGATCCTATTTATGAAGATTGCCAGACCTCCAAAGTGTCAATTTCTACAGATATTGGTTCCTAATTAGGGGAAATACATGTTAAAATTGCTTATGACTTGTTGTAGTTGGCCAGTTGGATGCTATTTATAGGTACCTTTTTTTTTTTTTTTTTTTTTTGTACTAGGGATTGAACCCAGAAGTGTTTAACCACTGAACCTCATCCCCAGCTCTTTTTATATTTTATTTTGAGACAGGGTCTCACTACTAAGTTGCTCTGGGCCTTGCGAAGTTGCTAGGCTGGCTTTGAGCTAATGATCCTTCTGCCTCAGCCTCCCAAGTCGCCAGGTGTACAGGTGTGTGCCACTGTGTGCAGTGGTAACTTACTTTTCACAAACAGCCTGGGGACATGTCAATAAACTAGCCTTTGCCCACTTCCTAGAGTGTTTAATCTAACAAAACTTTGTGGTTAACCTATTTAGGTTTCTCTTATTTTATTTTATTTATTGCTAGTAGGGATTTAAGAAAATTTGTGGTCACCTTATTTAGTTTCTTATTTATTTATTTGGTACTGGGGATTGAACCCAGGGCCTCACAAATGCTAGATAAGCATTCTCTACTACTAAGCTACATCCCAAACTCTTTTTTTTTTTTCACTTATTTTTTAGTTTTAGGTGGACACATTATCTTTATTTTTTATTTTTATGTGGTGTTGAGGATTGAACCCAGCACCCTGTGCATGCCAGGCGAACGCACTACTGCTTGAACCACATCCCAAGCCCCCAAACCCTTTTTAAAATTTTCTTTGAGACAGGGTCTCAATAAGTTGTCCAGGCTGGCTTGAGATCCTTCTGCCTCAGCCTTCTGAATTGCTTGGATTATAGTCAATACACCACTGTACGTGTTTTTTGTTTATTTTTTTGTTGTTAACCAGGTCTTAGATGCCTATGTACATGTAGACCTACACCATTTTTTTCTTTCTGATTGCTGTTTTAAAGTTGATTTTTACTTCATAAGCAAAATATACATTTGTTTTTCTTCCAGAAGCCCTGAGTTTGATCCCCAGCACCACAAAATAAATAATTAAATTAAATTAAATACATTTTTGCTACAGTTAAACTCCTATATTGGCTTGTGTTTGGGGACACACATGCACATGTGCACTCTCTCTCACACACACACAGGTACATTTTCACTCTGTTCTTAGTTACTGTAACCACTTTGGTGTATATTCCACTTTTCTGTACATTTAAATACTTAAGTATCATGTTGTATTTGCATAAATAGATTTTTTCACTCAGTGTTTAATTTTTTAATTATTTCTTTTAAGAATTTGTTACCWAGGAACTTATTCTTTWTTTTAAAATTATTTTGAGATATCGATGGACCTTTATTTTAATCATTTATTTATATATGGGCTGAGGCTTGAACCCATGCTTCACACATGCTAGGCAAACGCTGTACCACTGAGCCACAACCCCAGCCAAGAAACTTACTCTTTTTTGTTTTGCAGTACTAGGGTTTGAAACCAATTGCTTTTTACCATTGAGCTACATAATTGGCGCCCCCCACCATATTTTTTTTTTTTTTTTGCTTAGTTGCCAAGGCTGGCCTCAAACTTGCAATCCTCCAGCCTCAGCCTCTCAAGTTGCTGGAGTGGATGCTTACTCAATAAATCTTAAAAATCCATTAATTTTTTCTAGCTCAGTGGAAGAGTGCTTGCCTAGCATATGTGAGGCACTGGGTTTGATCCTTAGCACCACATACTAAAAAAATAAAGCTCCATCAACAACAAAAAGTATTTTTTAAAAATCCATTAATTTTAATTCATATAAAACTTATCTCATTCCAGTATTCAATAAAATGAACAAATCACAATTTATTTATTTTCCTACCCATAACTATTTTAAAATTTTTTTGCTGTTAAACATCGGTCTGTTTTAAATTATTATTATTTTATTATTTATTTTTTTTTTTGTGTGTGTGTGTGTGTGTGGTGCTGGAGATTGAACCCAGGGCCTTGTGCATGCAAGGCAAGCACTCTACCAACTGAGCTATATCCCCTTAAAATTATTTTATACATAGAAATTTGGCACTTGAATGAGTCTGTAGGACAAATAAAAACAAAGAATTGCTAAAGTCGAAATAAGTATTCATTTAAAATTTTCATAAATACTGCCAAATTGTTCTCTAATAGTTTTTGAAAATTTGTATCCTCACTCTAATTTAAGAAGTGTGGTGGCACATATTTGTAAATCTCAGTGACTCAGGAAGCTGAGACAGGAGAATGAGCTCAAGGCCAGCCTTAGCAATTTAGCAAGACCCTCAGCAACTTAATGAGACCCTGTCACAAAATAAAAAATAAAAAGGGCTGAGGGTGTGGCTTAGTAGTTAAGCACCGCTGGATTCAAAGCCCAGTACAAAAAAAAGAAGATGACAGCAACGATGACACTTATTACTCCTCAACCTCATTCAGTACTGTGTATTATTGAACTTTTTTACTGTCTAATAAATGATTAGGATAAAATGTAAATATCCACATATAGATATATAAAAGTCATCTTGATAATTTTTTTTTCTCTTTTAGGTCTTTCCATTCATACTTTCCATGGGAACTTCTTCGTTAGGTCAACAGACTTACTCTCTTTGCCCAATGTCAATCCTGATGCTGGGTATGCAGTACAGATGTCAGTAGAAGAAAGTCTTACTGACACTCAATTGGTTTCTTTTCAGTCAGCACTCTTGTACACATCAAGCAAAGGTATATTTTTTGTTTGCTTTAATTATCGTAAAAACCATGAGCTCTATCCTCTTAAGAGAGAGTATTGTTAACTGTATACATAATATTATATTAAAGTTTTTTGATGTGGTACTCTGTGGCCTATAATAAACTTTTCTTTGGAGGGAGGTTTTTTTCTTAAAAAAATATTTTTTTAGTTTTAGGTGCACACAATATCTTTATTTTATTTTTATGTGGTGCTGAAAATTGAACTCAGTGCCTCATGCATGCGCGCTACCACTTGAGCCACATCCCCAGCCCCGAGGGTGGTTTTTTTTTGTTTTTTTTTTTTTTTAAAGCCAAAAGAGTATTCCCAATCATAAGAGCTATGTTTCTGTTATTGGTAAAGCCAACGTGTTTGGCTTTAGTTTTCTGAATGATTTTGTTTCATTCTATTTTATTTTGGTACTGGAGATTGAACTCAGGAGCACCCAGCCACTGAGCCACACCCCCAACCCTTTTTTGTATTTTATTTAAAGACAGGGTCTCACTGAGTTGCTTGGCACCTCACTTTTGGTGAGGCTGGATTTGAACTTGCTATCCTCCTGCCTCAGCGTCCCGAGTTGCTGGGATTACAGGTGTGTGCCACCACACCAGGCTTTCTAAACGATTTTATTTATCCATTTATTTCACAGATATTTATTGAGAATCTCCTATGTATTAAACACTGGTTTTTCAGTTGAAAAATTCCTTTATATAACCTAATTCTAATAGGCAATCAGATAGTAAACAGGATAAATAACAGTTGTTCTTTCAAGATAGAGTAGACAAGAAAGTTCTCACAGAAGTGATATTTGAGTTAAGTTTTGAAAAAACTGATGATAAAACACTTTTTTTTTTTTTTTTGTGGCACTGAAAATTGGATCAAGGGTGCTGCTCTACCACTGAGTTATATCCCCAGCCCTTTTTATTTTATTTTATTTTATTTTTAAGACAAGTGTCACTCAGCTGCTGAGGCTTGCCTCTAATTTGTGATCCTCCTGTCACTGGGATTACAGTTGTGCATCACCACACTTGGCTTTTTTTTCTTTTGAGATGGGCTCTTGCTATATTTCCCAAGTTGGCCTCAAACTTCTGGGCTCAAGTAATCCTCCCACCTCAGCCTCACAACTAGCTGGCATTACAGGTACATACTGACACCTGATCATCAGAAAACACTTTTAAGTTGTGATTTATTTGTTTCTAATTAATTTGTAATTTGTGTTTTAACCTAATCTGATGTGGGGCATGTTAATTTGCTTTTTTATTTTAAAGATTTTTTACTCCTAACCTCTGTTAACATACTCCTTAATTTTGGAGGAGACTTTCTGTGTTATATGTATTCAATCTTTATAGCCCCTCCAAAATTTATGGAAAGTATGAAGTAAGGACACTTTAATAAAAACCTTTAAGAGGAATGTTCTGTATGATTATAATTAATATGACACACTATAAATGTAAAGTAAGATGGATTTCTGTCTCTAGGTACCATTTTTTTATTTGACAAAAAACCCAGCTCAGTCCCTTTTCTGTTCAATGTAAAAATTTATAATTGATATATGGTAAAAGACAATTATTTTTATTTTGTTTTATTTTTTCGGTTGTACTCAGGATCAAACCCATGGCTTTTGTGCATGCTAATTACATACCCTGTTCCTGAGTTACTCCACAACTAAATGCACCTTTTTCTTTTGTTTTTGGTTGGTTTGTGTTGATGTCACTTGTTTGTTTGCAGTGCTGGGGATTGAACCCAGGGCCTCAAGTATGCTAGGCAAGTGTTCTACCTGTGAGCTACATCACTGGCCCTTTTTAATTTTATTTTGAGTCTAGCCTGTGCAACTTAGTGAGATCCTGAAGGAGAAAGGTGGCAAGATTCAAACTGGTATTAAACTCTTTGGGTCTCACTAAGTTACCCAGGCTAGACTCAAACTCATGATTCTGCCTCAGCTTCACAAGTAGCTGGAATTACATGTGTGCACCACTAGTTCAGTTGAATGAACCATTTTGAATGTAAAATTCGAAAGTTTTGACAAATGTGTCATGTAACTATCACCATAATAAAGACATAATTGGTTCCATCATTCCCAGCATCACCCTTTGCTTTTGTAACCATTCTCTCTCTCCCATCTCCAGCCTCTGGTAACCACTGAGAGTTTTGTCTTGCAGGAGTGTCAAAAAATGGAATCATATGCAGGTTGAGCATCTCTTATCCGAAATGCTTAGGACTAGAAGTGGTTTTGATTTAGAATTTTTTTCAAATGTGGATATATTTGCATATACATAATGAAATATCTTGGAAATAGGATCCAAGCCTTAACAAAATTTATATTTCATATACAACTTACATACAAAAATTTCTTTCTGCGATTAAGAAGTATAAAGTTTTTCTAAACTTTAAATGTCAAAAATAGGCTAAAATGTMAAAAAAAAGGCTATAAAACAAGCAAGAGTAGTGATATTTTATATATATTAACTCAGAAATTTTATTGCAAAAGAAGTAACCAGAAAATTTAGAAAGGAGATTTATAAAAACCTAGCATACTTATAACAAATTAAAATTTTTAAAAATTAAAAAAAAACCCTAGCATACTATCATTTAAATACAATCCTTGTTATCTATTTTGTAATAATGTGAACAAAAAAAATTTATAGTTGAAAAAAAGCTTTGATTTTCACCAACTAAAATTTTTATAGGTCTCTGCTTCCTATAATCCTACTTGGTTAAGTTGAAATGAGTTTAACATAATCTTTTTTGCATATAGTTGTGCCTTACTATTGTGTGTTTTCCCAAAGGTGAAAGAAGAATTCGTGTCCATACTTTGTGTTTGCCAGTAGTTTCGACTCTAAATGAAATCTTTCTTGGAGCTGATGTTCAAGCAATTTCGGGGTTATTGGCCAATATGGGTAAGAGTTGTTATCACTTATAAATATTTTGCAAGTAATACCATTCAGCAAATCCACCTAATTTTGTTTTCTTTTACGTAACTAACTTTACAGGTTTCATTGTTTGGGTGATTGTAACTATTTCATTGAAAAGATCTGCTGCTATGATTTCACCCGTTGCAGTTTACAATTCCATTATTTTTAGAAAGTTTACAGTTATAAAGTCATCATCACAATCTAATTTCAGAACATTTTTATCACCCAGAAAGAATCTCATGCCCATTAGCAGTTAGTGCTCACTCCTTCCTCCATCTCTCACTGACCTTAAGCAACCACTAAACTATTTTCTATTTATATTTATGTCCTTTGAACTAAATAACTATATCTAACAGAATAGTTAATATTAATGCTTAACAAATTGTCGTGTGTATATATACACAATGGAGTGTTACTTAGCTATTAAGAAGAATGACTTTATGACATTTGCCAGTAAATGGATAGACCCGGAGACTATCATGCTAAGTGAAATAAGCCAATCCCCAAAACCCAAAGGTCAAATGTTTTTATTGATATGTAGAAGCTAACCCACAATAAGGGGTGGGGGTAGAATAGAACTTCAGTAGATTAGACAAATAGGAATGAAGGGAAGGGAGAAGGGATAGGGAAAAAAAAGATAGTGAGATGAATCTGACATAATTTTTTTATATACATATATGAATACACCATGGTGTTCTCACCACCATGTACATCCACAAAAATGGGGTCCTGATTAGAATAAGATATATTCCATGCTTGTATAATCATATCAAAATGGATTCTACAGTCATATGTTAAAAAAAGCAATAAAATAATGAAAAATTAGTGTTTAATAAGGTGGTTTTTTGGTGGTCGTTTTTATTTTTTTTATTTTTTGGTGGTACTTGGAATTGAACCCAGGCCTTTGCTAGGGAAGTGCTCTGCCACTGAGCCATACCCCTAGTCTCCTTCTTGATATTTTTTTTCTCTTTTCAGACATACAGAATTTAATACCAGTTTGATTCTTGCCACCTTTCTCCTTAAGGAAAGACTTTCACAGGGCCCATTTACTTCAAATTTAAATCTACTTTATAACGGGAATAGTTTCTGTTTTCTGAATTTCCTGTTGGGAAAATTTTCTTTCATCGAGCCTGGTTAGAGGATCCAGTCCTTACTTTAGTCTTATTATGTTATCAAAATTTGAAGATCATGGAGTGGACATGGTGGCAGATGCCTGTAATTCCAAGACTTGTGTAGCTGAGCATAAGGATTGCAAGTTCCAGGCCAGCTTGGGCAATTTAGCAAGACCCTATCTCAAAATTTAAAAATAGCTCATTGTTAGACTATGTTCTCTCATGAAGTTTAATCCCCAGTACTKCAAAATACAAACAGTGGGCGTGGCACTGCATGCCTGAATCCTGGTGGTTTGGGAGGCTGAGGCAGGAAGATCACAAGTTCAAAGCCAGCCTCAGCAATTTAGCAAGACCACCTCAAAATAACAGTATGATCATTATTATTATAACAGTAATAAGTATCAGGCAATATTTATGGATTTAAAAAGAAATCTTCATGATAGTTTTTTTTTTCTTTTCTTTGTGTGTGGTGCTAGGGATTAAAACCCAGGACCTCATACCCATTAAGCCTCACAATACCTTTTGTATATATTAGTTCTGCTACCATATTTGGTTGAGCCAGGTATGCACATTTTTTCATGTTTTGTCATCTTTCAAATCAGAGTTATCTTGAGTTGATGAATGTTAAGAGTTGTTTTTGATAATAATATTTTTGTTTCCAACCTACATGTAAATTTTGGTCATAGCATTTAATAACATCATTAAATGTGTTTTTGATACCACATGGATTGATTTTAGTTGCAGGTTGAGAAGTCTTCAAAACAATTACATTATTTTTAGTATTAAGAAAAAAAAATGTTTTTGGTATACAGAAACATGTATAGGCATAAGTGCTGGGCATGGTAGCGCACGCCTGTGATCCCCACGGCTAGGAGGCTGAGGCAGGAGGATCCTGAGTTCAAAGCCAGCCTCAGCAACTTAATGAGGCACTAAGCAACTCACTGAGACCCTGTTTCTAAATGAAATATGAAAAAGGGGCTCCTCAGAGCCGGAAGCGGAGCGTCTGCCACCGTTGTCGCAGCCGTGAGTCGTACTTACAACGATGAGTTACAGTTCCTGGAAAAGACCAATAAAAACTGCTGGAGAATCAAGAAGGGCTTCGTGCCCAACATGCAGGTTGAAGGAGTTTTCTATGTGAATGATGCTCTGGAGAAATTAATGTTTGAGGAATTAAGGAATGCCTGTCGAGGTGGTGGTGTTGGTGGCTTCTTGCCAGCCATGAAACAGATTGGCAACGTGGCAGCCTTGCCGGGAATTGTTCATCGATCTATTGGGCTTCCTGATGTCCATTCAGGCTATGGGTTTGCTATTGGGAATATGGCTGCCTTTGATATGAATGATCCTGAAGCGGTGGTATCCCCAGGTGGTGTCGGATTTGACATCAACTGTGGTGTGCGCTTGCTGAGAACCAATTTGGATGAGAGTGATGTCCAGCCTGTGAAACAGCAACTTGCCCAAGCTATGTTTGACCACATTCCTATTGGGGTGGGATCAAAAGGTGTGATCCCAATGAATGCCAGACACTTGGAGGAGGCCTTGGAGATGGGCGTGGACTGGTCCCTAAGGGAAGGCTATGCCTGGGCTGAAGACAAGGAGCACTGTGAGGAGTATGGAAGGATGCTGCAAGCTGACCCCAACAAGGTCTCTGCAAGGGTCAAGAAAAGAGGCCTTCCTCAGTTGGGGACCCTAGGAGCAGGCAACCACTATGCAGAAATCCAGGTTGTGGATGAGATTTTCAATGAGTATGTTGCTAAGAAAATGGGCATCGACCATAAGGGACAATGTGTGTAATGATCCACAGTGGAAGCAGAGGCTTGGGCCACCAAGTAGCCACAGATGCACTGGTAGCTATGGAAAAGGCCATGAAGAAAGACAAGATCATAGTCAATGACCGTCAGTTGGCTTGTACTCGAATTGCTTCTGCAGAGGGTCAGGACTACCTAAAGGGAATGGCAGCAGCTGGGAACTATGCCTGGGTCAACCGCTCATCTATGACCTTCTTAACGCGTCAGGCTTTTGCCAAGGTCTTCAACACAACCCCTGACGACTTGGACCTG